CCAAAAAACGTTTCCATGAGAATTAAACAGAATCGGTTTACTTTTTAAAGGAATCAAACAGTTTCTGTACCCAGGATCGAACAACTTTGAGTCGGGTTGGGTCTTTCTCACAATCTGAACTAATGAGGCCTCAGAATGTCATCCATCGAATTATCCACTTCAACTTTTACTCAAGCCAATTTCTTTATATAGTACTCGTACTTCTACTCCACTCCTCTACTCCAATACTGCATACAGTGGGGGAAATAAGTATTTGACCCCTTGCTGATCCTGCAGGTTTGCCCACTTACAAAGAATGCAACGATCTATAACTTTAATCATATGTACATTCTAACAGTGAAAGCCAGAATCCCAAAGAAAATTCCAGAAAATCACATCATATGATTTTATAAAAATTGATAACCATCTGATGAGGAAAAATAAGCATTCTTTGTAAATCTGCCTCAGCTGAGTGAAACCCAGCCAGATCTGGAATGATTGGCCCAATAATAAACGGGTTGATTGAATGAAGCGCTAATTAAAAGCTCTCCAGGAAGAATATTCTTCTATCCGGTAACTCTGAGAGAGTCTGAGGGTTCAATGTTGTGATGGGATTTTGTTTTAGGAGAAAACAAACACCTGCATGTATCAGAACACAGAAAAACACACCCTGATTTATTCATTTTTTAATTTTTTTTAATTTATTCCTCGTATTTAGGACCAGAATCTAATTCGAGTTCAGTTCCATCCAAGACTGAAAGTGAGATCTAAATGTTTTAATTATTTCTTCCCCTCAAATTAATTCATATTAAATGCATACATTTAAATATGAATCCAGCCCTTGTGTACAGAACAAAGGGTTTGTGTCCTTATGTATTCTGAGTGTATATTACAAGAAATGAAAAATAATCAGATTGCAGATATTTTTATTTTTATTTTTTAGATTTATACAAACAAGTTTTTTTCCCCTTTTTTCTCCTTTTTTCTCTTTTTTTTTTACAGATTTATACAAACATGTTTTTTTTCTCCTTTTTTTCCTTCATTTTTTCACTCTTTTTTTTATAGATTTATACAAACATGTTTTTTTCCTTTTTTCCCCTTTTTTATAGATTTATATAAACATGTTTTTTTTCCTTTTTTCCCCTCTTTTTTAATCTTTTTTTATAGATTTATACTAACATGTTTTTTTCTTTCCCTTTTTTTCCCCTTTTTTAAATATTTTTTTTATAGATTTATACAAACATGTTTAAAAGCATAGATACAGTTCCACACATACACTGGTTCTGGATTTCCTGAACCAGGATTTCCTGGTTTTCTGGCCGTTACACGTTCCTTATTTCTGTAATAACTCGGCCCCAGGTGGAGTTTGAGCCCCTCTCTGGCTGATTTCGGCCGTCTGTTTTAATCACGGCCACCTTTTGTGTCCGTGTTCAGCTTCCCTACGAGAGAAGGAGCTCCAATCAGGGCCGGCCTTTTTATAATTAGATTTATTAATCAAGCAGCTCTTAATTAAAGTTACTTTTGAAGTGAATGTGATATTTTTAAAGCTCCTTTTGCACCGTTTGACCTGATGCTGACTGCTTATGATGAGTCTTTTTAGTCTGTTTAATTTAATTAGCACCTGTTCTGGACTAGGATCCCTGAGGATGCCCCCCCCTTTTAAACGTTAAATAACGTTTTCCCAGAGATTCGACATCCAAGAGTCACCAAACAAAGAATCTCTGAACCTGTTAACCGAAAAAAAGCCGACAGGACGACTGTAGATTACCTTTAATGTAGTAACATATCATTTAATTTGTTGTTTATATTTTTTGGGTGTGATTTATGTTGTAAAAATAACAAAGTTAGATTAATGTTTCTTTACGTTTGAACAAAGTTTTACTTTGAAGGGCTCTCGTGAGACCTCGGGACTTCCGGGTTTTCGGTTGACATATTAAAATGTGTTAAAAAGTTCTTTAAAGGTACTAGCTCCTGGCTAAAAGGGCACAAGGTTTTTCTCGTTTTTTGTGTAATATTGTGTCCGGTTTTAAGTGTTATGATTGTTTTAAGTAAGTAAAGTGTGTTTGCGCTATGGAGTGTTAGCATGGTACCTAAGCTAACGCGGTAATTTCGGTCTGTGAAGTTTAAAAGACTGTTCATAGGAGGGTAATCGTACTTTTATTTTTTCCTTTCTTTTAGCTTGTACAGTGATTTCATACGATGCCTTCATTGACCGTTCAAATAAAAGGATAGGAACCATCTAAGAGTCCCACCATCAATTAGCCGGGGATGCTAACGACCAAAAGAGAGGGAGGCGATTCCAACCGAGTGTGAGCGGCTAGCTCCCAAAAGCTTAAGGCCTACTTCTGGGATCTGTAGTGTTGAAACTCTGAATGGTAAAAAAGGAGGGAGGAAGTTGGACTGCCAGGTTTCCTCCACAGTATTGAGTGTTAGCACCGTACCTAAGCTAACGCTGTAATTTTGGTCTGTAAAGTTTAAAAGGATTGTTCATTGGAGGGTAATAGTATTTTTATTTCTTAATTTCTTTTAGCTCGTACGGTGAATTCATATGACGCCTTCATTGACCGTTTAAATTAAAAGGATAGGAACCATCGGTCTTAGAGTCCCACCATCAATTAGCCGGGGACGCTAACGACCAAAAGAGAGGGAGGCGATTCCACCGAGTGTTAATGCTAACTCCCAAAAGCTTAAGGCCACTTCTGGGATCTGTAGTGTTGAAACTCTGAATGGTGAAGAAGGAGGGAGGAAGCTGGACTGCCAGGTGTCCTCCAC